TTACCAGGTCTCCTAGCCACTAGATGTTCCCTCCGGCTCAGGCATAGAGTTGCCACCTGTGTGCAGGTAAATAGTGTATACTAGCACTCACTCCCCTCACAGCTGCCCTGACTCTATGCTGTTCCAACAGACCTACCAGGCACCAGTAGTAGGTAGGCCCTGGCTTGTACTGCAACCTACGGTCAGTGGACTACAGCCTACGTGGTACCTCATGATGTTCCGCTCCTCTCACTTATCCCATCCTGACTACTTGCCGACCAGCTTAGGTGCTTACTGAGGCTGGAGAAGGCCAACAGCTGTGGATAGCAGAGCTTAGCAAGTACCGGCCACTTCATGGTACAGCTAAATTGAACACAGTGCCGGTGTTCCCTCCAAGAAAAGCAGAAAGATGGCAGGTTGGGTTATCGCTGGAGAGTAGGTATGTACTGTTTGTGGCCAGTTCAAATCCCCAGCTGCTGTATGTGGCTAAGGATACCACAGCTAAATGACAGATCCCCTGGTGTTTATAAAACAAACCAGGCGGGGATCCTCAGTGATGTCATTGACTAAATATGGCTATGAACATGTTTGGTTAGCATTTGTATGTGCATGTACGTGGGGGTTTGGAACTTTAAACAATGTTTTTTTGCATTGTTATTTTTCTTTTATATGTTAATTTGTTTATTTATTTATTGTATACTTAACTTTATTGCTATCATATAGGGGGATAACAAGCCCCCTATGTAATAGCAAATATGATGTGACAGGTCCTCTTCCTTTAAAATGTGTCCAATCACACTCCTGATCGGGATGAAGACCCAAAGTAGGGTGGGTGCTGCAGTGACAGCAGATGCCTCTGCAAAAATCATACAATGGAATGGAAAGTCACTTGCACTCCAGATGAATATCAAGTCATTCTCTTTGCTGACTGTAGTAGTGTCACATTTCAAAGCGACGTTTCAGAAACAAGTGGTCCCTTCTTCAGGCAAACAGGAAATGATCACCAACAATTTAAGTGCAGGAATAAATACATAACAGTGGCAGCCAATCAACCAATCAAAGAGAACCACATCCCCCCTTCCGACGTCAGAACATAGTTTTATTCCCGCCATTACATGTAAACACAATGTTGTGTACACAAGTGATCATAAGTGATCTAAGGTAAAAATGGTAAATACCTTGATCACAACTAAGTGCCCATTCCCTTAGGACAACCCATACCGCGCTGGATGCTGCTGGATCGCCAAGAAGATCAGAGGCTCTCTCCGCCCCACACACAACTCTGTATGGAGGTGGGCGGTGTCCTTGATGTCATGGCGATCACTTCATTAGTAGCTGTTTGCTGGCCGGCTCGGCAGGCGTGTGCGTGGTCACCGCCAGGGTTCGTAGCATGCGTACCTCAGCCTCCTTCATAGGCCCGCCTACCAGCTGCTCTAAGGAGACCCGCAGGCAAACAATCAGATGGTGTGTGTGTTGCCACGGAAAACGCTTACCAATGTAAAATCCAGGAAGTAAGATCATCCTTAACCCATGAGGCAAAATCTTGCATGGAGCTCCAGACCGAGGGCGATTGATGGTTTTATTGTATTCCTTCCATGTGCAAATAATTGCTCCAACAGTTGCTTCCTTCTCACCAAGCTTCTTGCTGACAGTCTTGTAGCCCATTCCAGCCTTGTGCAGGTTTACAATCTTGTCCCTAACGTCCTTTGACAGCTCTTTGGTCTTGCCCATGGTGGTGAGGTTTGAATGGAAGAGAAAGATTCTGTGGACAGGTGTCTTTTATATACATAACGAGTTGTCGTTAGGATCACCTTCTTAAATTGACAGGACTAATCTGTGTACCACATAGCCAGTGTGTGGGAAGAGCCAGAATTATTGTTGGTTGGTAGGGGATCAAATACCTATTTTACTCACTGAACTGCAACTCAATGTATAACATTTGTATCATGTGTTTTTTTTCCGGATTTTTGGTTGATATTCTGTCTCTATCATTTAAAATAAACCTATGATGAAAATCATAGACCTTTAATTTCTTTGTAAGTGGGCAAACTTACAAAATCTGCAGGGGATCAAATCATTATTTCCCTCGCTGTATACTGAGCTTTGGGTCACGGGAAGAGGTTAGTATATGTCCTTCTGGGACCCTAAAGAGAACTATGGAATAAAAAGGTTACACCATAGTTCTCTTGTAAAGTAAATGCCCGGGTGACAGCAGCCGCATCTAAGAGCGGTAAATGGGGCCTTAGTTCCGCGCTCACACCTAGAAGTTTTGTAGCTGAAAGAGTTTTTAAAGCTGCAACACTCAAATAGAGGATTTCCATTGAGTTCATTGGTCTCTGTTCACATCTGAGCGTCTTGTCATCTGTAGCCAAACGCCTGCCGCTGGAAAAAGTACATGAGCAACTTTACAGCAGAATTCTGCATTTTTAACCCCATTGACTCTAATGGGAGCACCTATGAGCATACAACACGTGTGTTTTTAAGCTTTTTCTTGCATTTGTTGTGCGTTTCCACAAAAGAAGTGGCTCTCCTCCTCTTTGTAAACACACCTGAAGCTGAATATGCCTGAAAAAAACACATACAAAATGCTTCAAAAACACACGTTAATGTACATTAAACAATCAAAAATGCTTAGGCCTTGTTCACATGTAGGCATTTTCAAGCTTCTTTTACGTCCCCTCTCACACCTTTGTGTTCCATGAACACACACCAAACACGCACATAGACATGCGTTCATGCAACATGTCAAAAACATGCAATGTGGTCGTGGTGGAATAACTTGTTAAACCCCAAACGGGAAATGCATGTTTTTGCACAAATGCACTGGAAAAAATTTGTGATGCTCGCAGCTGAAAATGCTGCATGAGTTACTTTCTTGCATTTGAAACTAATGGGCAAAATGCAGCAAACACAAGAAAAAATGCCCATGAATGCAGGTGAACGCGATGCACGTTCATGGTACGCCAAAGTGTTTTTGATCATTTTTACGCTCATACATTTTTACAGTCGGCTTCAGTTGTTTTTTTTTTCTATTTGGCCCAATGGAAAGCAATAACATATGTGACATCATGCAACAATGCCCGAAAAAAACATTCCAAAAACTGTTCACAAATGCTTGTTGGACACATTTTAAGGCATTTCCATTGAAGTCTATAGGGACCAAAACGCTCAAATCAGCCTGAAAGTCCCCATTCACACTACACAATGTGGTAATGCGCCCAAATGTGCATTCATTTGCATTTTTTGCTGCACATCGTTCATTGATATCAATGGGTGCCACATCCACAACAAATGCAGCAAAGCAGTCCATGCAGCATTTTTAGCTGCGAGCGTCCCACA